TCTAGCCAATGAAAGTTTCAAAAGAAAAATGACTTTGTTTGCTGTTATCTTCCACTTTTGACTAATTTTTAATAATTTTTTTTCCTTAGACTATGAAAACAAAGGAATTGTTTGGAAATAAAGTTCTTTCCTGTTACCAACTCTGTCCTGTTACTGAAGATTCTTTCGTGTTACCGACAAATCGGACTATATTTTACTATATTTCTTAACCTTATGTATTGTAAATGCTAAAAAAAAATTATTGGCATTTGATAAAATATTGCACGATGTACTAGTAAACTACAATGCAAATAGTATCTTTAATCTGTTTCTTATTCACATTAGAAACTTATAAAAATTGATTCACTTTGGTAACAGGAAAGAACTGGAATTTTTCGTACCTTTTTTGACATTGCCATAGTTACCACATTTATCAATTTTTTGAATTACAGACAACAGTTCCTGAATCTTCAATGTTTGTTCTTTGTTTTTTGCTATTAAAATACAAGATCCAGAGAAAAACTAATTTTTTCCCCCATTGGCAAAAATAGACATTTTTTTTAATTTGTCTCATTTCGTGACTTGTTACTGGCTAATGTGTTTTTAATGAACATCTACTCTGAATATGTCATAGAAAATCTATGGGTTTTTTTCTCATAAATTTCCTTTTGCTATCGTTATGGTTGTGTGTTTTGTTCTGTTTTGTTTTTGTTTTAAAGGGTGGAGGGCTCTTTTAATATTAAATTTTAGGCAAAGGCGTGTGTCAGTTTTAGGGCTCATTATTCTTAAATTCTGGTTTGCAGTGTATGTTTAAACTGTCTATGACTTTACTTTTTCAAAATTCAATGTGCAGTATCTTAGGGCAAAGATATAATGACTGTTATATACTATTATATCTTAGTCCAAAAAATTATAACGTCTTGAAAAGCTGTTTTAATTTTTTTAATGTGACGCACAGAAAAATGATAAAATAGCCTGTTGAAGGCGTCACAGAAAAAAAATTAAAATAGCCTTTCAAGACGTCATAATTATTTGGACTAATTATATCTATGCTTAGGGGAATGACTATTTGATATTATAGGTGGTGGGAGGGGAATCCTTGTCCGTTTGCCCTAATACCTGTTTGCCCTGGGTCCTTTTGCACTTATACGCATTCCCCTGTTTTTTATTTTTTTTTGTTGTCTTGTTGTTTAATGTAAATTATTTGAATAAAGTATGTAAAATCTTGTTGAAAATTTCATGAATAAACTGGATAACGTGGGAGGGGCCAGTAGGATTTTTTTTTCTGGATTGGCTATTTATTTGCATCAATTGCTACACATGCTTTTTTTTCTAAAAATATATTTTCACTTTTGTATACAGATGCAGAATTTTCATTTTCAGCATGTCTTGTGAGGTTATTTAGGGGCTTTTTATAGCTTACTATGCGGTATTGGTTTTGCTCATTGTTGAAGGTCGTCAGAAACCTATACTTATTAACCTCTACATCATTTGGTATCTGGTGGAGTGTTGTCTCCTTGGCAATTATATGTTGGGCTTAATGAAAAAGACGAGAAAAGATACAGAAAAAATAAAGAATAATCAATTATACATCATTGTCCTTTATATCTCTGTAATATTGGCCGATGAATGTTGCAAACTTGAACCTCAAATTTTGTATTTACAAAAATAATCTTGAACTGCATCCAAACTTTGAATCATTTACAAAGCAGCAAAATTCATGTACAATGAGCTGCAAAAGCTTCTTATCTTTATCCGATTACACCTGCATAGATGCACGCTCGATGAAACTAGTTTGTCTAGCGAAATATTGCATTTATTTTTTATCGCATTGTAAATATTTCTAACATTTTAATACCTACATACTAAATAGTGTGTTTAAATTACATTTTTAGGCAATTTATATATTTCTATTGATGTATTGTATACATATTTATCGTCACATATGTCAGATAATATGTAAACTATTTGATTTATTTTTGGGATTTAAATAGTTTTGAAGTATATTCCATTTTATATTATGGTATACTGGTCTGTCAATATTTTGGGTATGTTTTGTATATCTATTAAGGTAGAGTAAATACTGATAGCTATATTTGAAGCATTTTGCATTGAAATTTTATGTTATAAATCATTTTTCTAAGTAATGACTCCCTACCTGATGGTAAACATGGAAAGCATATGATAAGGACAAGAAGTATACTTACAAATGAATATTCATATTTGAGATCACCATATTATGTTTTCCAAACCATTTAACACGTATTGTTGTAATAACGATTAGTTTGAAATTAACACTGATAACATGAAATCAGACTTAAAATTGGTATAAAATACCGATGTGCATAACATGACATACAAATCATCAGTGGCGCTCAAAATCAAAAACTTTATCGGTTTAATGAACGAAGTAGACAAAATGCCAAAGCGAACAATAACGGTTGCACAAAACTTGACAAAGGTCTAAAATGACTGGGATTCATACAATTTTCAGATTTGATAAAAACGTAAAATTATTAATATGATCGTATCAATGAAATAAAGGTGATGTACATGCACTGATTGCAAAACTAGTGAAGTATCACAAATGTATCACTCTGCTTCATAATCATGCAAAAGGTGATCCGTGGATGAAAAGCCTGCTCACATTTACTTTCTATGTATGATTGATGAAAGGCTTCTTAAATATATTGCATGTATTTATCACAGTGAAAACATTGACGAGTTCTAAATTTTTCATGCATATCATTTCTTCCATAAGACATGTGTCTTAAGTTTTCATCGTCACCTTGACATGTTACATATGTGTCTCGAAGAGAGTCGAAGGAAACATTATATGCAACATAGATTATTTAACAAATAACAAAGGCTAGTTTTCTGATATTATCATTTCTTGAATGCATTCAGTCTTATAGTGAACGTTTTTTAAGTTACAAATATTGAATATCAGGTCAAGATGGTCATAATCTTATAGACCCTTATATTGTCTATTGTTGTCATCAACTTCAACTCTCGCACGTATTTCATTATGCAAAAACCATGATAGGAAGAATAATAGTTATTAAATCTTTAGTTATTCCTAATATTACTTTTTTGGCTACAGTTTCAACCTTGGGCAAAGAGTATTTAGAAAAATTTTTAAAAAATATATACGAATTTCTATGGAACAATAAGACAGAAAAAGTTAAACGCACTGTAATATGTTACAACCAATTAGATGGTGGATTAAAAATGGTGAAGATAGATGAATATATAGAATCTATTAAGATAGGTTGGATAAAAAGAATAACTGCTGATAAATTTCTTAATTGGATGGTCATACCAAAATTTTATCTAAATAAATTTGGAAGCAATCTACTTATCTTAAGAATGAATGCTAATAATATATACTCTCTACCAGGTACTAAAGATCTACCAGAATTTTATCTTGATATGATTAAGGTATGGTTAAAAATTAAAAATACTAAAACTAAATATCCAAATAACTACAGTCTTATCCGTCAAGAAGTCATTTGGGGAAACCAGTTAATCAAATTTCAAAAGAAAACACTACTTTTCCAAGACTGGATAGAAAGCAACATCATACATATAAATGATATTATTGATGAAATTGGGGTCTTTTCAGAAAAATTTATAAATTTAAAACTAAACAAGAAATCAAATTGGATAGCTGAATTCTTAAAATTAAGAAAAGTAATCCCAAAAGAATGGTTTAAAATATTAAATGATGAAATTTCAAGAAAAACTAGTGTTTTAACAAATAACTCACTATATATAAGTGAAAAGAATAATTGTAAACATAAACTAGAAAAATTAGATTCGAAGCAAATTTATACAATTTTAATAGAATATGATAAAGAAGTTCCAATTGGGTATCATAAGTGGAACAGAATATTAAAATATGAAAATATACAAATTGAAGCTCAATTTATGCAAAAATTTATTGATAAATATTTAAAAGATAATAAACTGAAAATGTGCAGATGTTACACATTATTCTTCCAAACAAAGTTTTGTTAAAACAATGGAAAATAAGCCTTAACTCTACATGTAATTTTTGTAAGCTTACAGAAGACTATGAACATTTTTTGTAACTTGCCAATTTTTAGATGAGTTTTGGGGGGAAATGTATAAGTTATTTGAATGAGTTAAGATTGGTAGACATATATTTACTTTAAAAAATTTAATCTGGGGATATAAAATTGATGATGAACATTATAATGAAATGAACTTTTTACTTATAGTTATTGTGTTTACTATACACAAAATACACTATTTGTCAGAATATAGGACAAAGAATATAAATCTGTATAATATTTTTAAGTCAGAGTTTAAAAACAGATTATTATTACCAAAAAAAATATTAATATTGAAGGAAAAGGAATACTAGAAAAGATATATTCTTATATCTGACAACATTGTTGTTATATCATTGATAATATTGGTGTTATATATTACAGTGCTCTATGTACTTGACTTGTTTGATAGATGATTATTTCATTTTATCATTTCAATGAGTTTTGAAAGTACCTCTTACCTTATCACACATATTTACATACTTTAACTTTAGATTATACGGAAGAAATACAAACCATGTTTACTGTATGAGACCAAAAATGTTACGTCTCTATACCTTCCATTGATAATACACTTATGTTTTGCATAAGAACTTAGTCAGAATAAATTAATCCACAAAAAAAACCTGAAAATACCGTTATACCGGAGGATAGAAAAACATAATAAACCACAAGTCAAATTCCGAAAAGGGTACTATAACCCGTTTTTCTTTTTTACTCTCGAAATCTATCAGATAGTTAACAATGATATAATATCCTAACTGATTTATAAATATATACATGAAGATACCTACCCTGGTCTTTAGGTACTAATATACAGGGATCTCTACTGAAATAGTTGTACCAGTGAAGAAATCTGTTAACAACATGTGCAATATTGTTGTTGAATAAAAAAAAAATCAAATATGTCATGGATTGGACAATAAAAGACAATAAAATAATTACCTTTCTTGTTTTGTTTAACCACTTGTGTATACACAGTGTTTGCATCTGTTAGATTTGCTTTTTCCTTATCATTTTTTTTATTTTTGTCCACAGTGCTGTACACTGCTCCAACGTCTTCTTTTACTGATGATATATACAATGGATTTTCTTTCAATCCATCTGCAAAATAGCAATACAAATTTTGTAAATTATACAGTTGTGCCAAATGTGCTCCATTGATAGATTCTAAGAATAATTTAAGAATGTGTGTTACACAATACAATGCTGTCTATAATTTTATGATTAGTTTTGCACGAGATCGAAGACCATACGGTGAAATATAGTTGCTTAAATTCACGTTATTTGGTCACTGGTAGATATGTGTCTCCTTGGCAACCATTAGGCAGCACCTTATTTGTATATACTTAATGGTATGCATATGATAATGTTTTTAGAATGTATTGAAATTGCCTTATCTAAACATGTTAAGAATTCATTTGACGGAAGCATAGTTTTTCATATTTATAAACGTCACTATGGAACTAAAACAGAGGAGAATATATATACCAAAGGGACATGCAAAACTCAAAACAAAACTGAAATGTCATGGCAAAAAACGAAGATCGACGAAAAGACAAACAAGTCAACAAAACACTACAAAAAAATAACTCAGACCCTACCGAAACTCAGGTTCTCCGGAATGGTAAACAATTCTGGCTAGATATGCTGATGAAAAGATGACGGGAATGTGGTCACAAACCAAACATTCTTATTGTATTTAAAAATAAACATACAATTGATTGACACATGCTATTTTAGGTAGCACTCCACAGTTCGGAAATAGATTAAAATCGAACCATAAAAATGTTGAATCATCTTCTAATCCTGGCTTTTTTATACATTAAGCCAACTGTTTGTGTTATACATGTGCAGCTGCAACTATTGATATTAAATACCAAATGATCAAATAAAAATACCTCATTATTTTAAATTAGTTCAGTAATACAGATTTAATGGAGGTTATCAGTGGACGTTGAAACGCGACAAAAGACGATTTAAAAAAGGGCTTGATCAAAGTGTAAAACCTCAAGTCTGTCTCATTTTTTGGTTCAATTTCAGGAACCTTTCGTCTTTCTCTGTCTTTTCTGTTTAGAATAAAAAAGAAATATCTTTATATTATTGAACTTAAAAAATTTAAAACCCAATACCTACAAAATGTGCAACTGACTAATAAATGTTCTCCTATGTGTTATACAAGCGAAAGGGTTAGCAATAAAACCAGGTTAAAACCACCATTTTCTACATAAGGAAATGCCTGTTCTAAGATATGAAAGTTGTTTTCTATTCGTTAGATGTGTTTAAGCTTTTGATTTTGCCATTTTATAAAGGACTTCCAGTTTTGAATTTCCCTTGCAGTTCGGTATTTTTGCTATTTTACTTTTATATATATATATATATATATATATATATATATATAATTGTCGTTTTTTAATCTGTAAATAATCAGGAATTAGATTTTGAATGGCAAAACTATAAGAACGCAGTAAGTTAATAACTTCCAACAATTTCATTTTAAAGATATTTGTTATACATCTTGTGCTCAAACAGACCAAGATGCATGAGATTCATCAGTTTTTTTATGTTAATGTTCATTTAGGGTTTATTTATGTATTTGGCAATGAAAAAATGTAAACATTTAATATTGCAACTGTCATTAAACTGGTCATTTTTCTAAGCAATCAAGTAGCTGTTATTTGTGAATATCAGTCTGAGTACTGTTTATATATCATGTAAGTTGAATCTGATGTTGAATAGTCCATCCTATGGAAACATAATTAAATTATAACACGTGTCTAAACCAATCCAAGGAGTAATCAAGTATTTCTATAATGTCTTTGTTCTTTTGGAAGACACTTTGCAGTTTTCTGATTATTATAAATTGTAATGACGGCTTAATTTTGACACTCGTAGTTTGTTCCCAAGTGTGTTGGTGTCATACAATTATTTAAGTATTTTTTCTATTTTGTTGGATTAATTGTTTTATTATTTTTATTCCGCATGGTGTTTCGGATATCAATTTAGGTCACACTCGTACCAAGGCCGTTCATCCTCATCAGGTGCTCTGGCCAATATTTAGATTGTTCATTTGAACTATTAATATGCTTGTATTTTACATCGGATGCGATTATCTTAAAGAGCACTTCGATGGTCAGCATTATCAAATACACATAGCTATAAATTGTAGACACACAGAGGTGTTTTAAAAGGAAAAACACCTCAAACAATCAATAATCTTCTAAGATATAAAGCTACAGAATACATCCACGACTAAATATTGTATACATACAGAGGTATTTTAAAAGAAAAAAACTCCTCAAATAATCACTAATCTATCAAAACATATAGCTATTTATATAAATCTTACAGAGCAATATTTAAAGGAAAATATTGAGGAAAAAAATACGAAGGTGATTTCAGGAAGAAACCTTCCCTTAACTATCAACTCTAATACCTATATAGAATATACAGATACATTAAATATAGATATACACATAATAAAAGGGATTGAAAAGCGAAAGACATTTGCGCATCTGTGCTACATTACATAATATGCCTAATGATAAAAGAAGACGCATGAGAAACCAGGGTTAGAACCGGAAATTTTTGAAAAACAAACAAAGGAAAAACAGAAACAACAAACGTAGGAAAACTTACGAAAGAAAACTGAAAGAAACTGCGAAAAGCATAAATAACTTAAAGTATATTGATATGTATACCAAACAAAATTTAAACGAAAACGAAATATCAATTCTTGCTAAAGGGTTAAAATTCGTTCCCAGCCCAAGCATAAAAAATGCAAAGGCTAATCTTCTCATTGATTTTGAAGAACTAGCTAGAAATGCAAATATCAGTTTGACGACGGATCAAATAAATTTATCCCTCATCCATTTCATCAGAAAACAGGATATAATCCTACACTCGCTAATAATGCAATTGAAGACTATAGCTTTGCTACTAAGATTGAAATTGGAAAATTAAATACTAAAAAAATCAAATCAAACATGTCCGTTAATGAAAAAATAGCACTATCGACTTTGAGGAATAACAAGAATATAATAATTAAAAAAGCAAACAAGAATTCATCAACAGTGATACTTGACAGAGATAAATATAACAAATTAGCCATGGATCATTTGAATGACCCAATTCACTATGAACAGGTGGATAAATCCGACTTTGAGGAACTTATAAAGATTCTCAATGAAAAAATAAACAATCTGTATGGGAAATCTTACATTGACGATACTTCTCTAAAATATCTATCAATTCCAAAAAATACAAGACTGGGAAGACTGTATTTCCAACCTAAAATTCACAAAGTGAATGACCAGGACAGAAAAGTTAACAAAGAGTGGTTAGAAAATATTAATATTACGGGAAGACCTATTGTATCATTATGCAATAGCCCACTTGAAAAAGTAGGGACATTCCTCGATTATTTCATTAACCCGGAAACTAGAAAAAATCAAACTTCCTCATGAGATAATTATGTGTTCATTTGATATTTCTTCTATGTACACAAATATGCGTCATTAAGAAATAATTGAGGCTGTGGATCGTTCTTGGACAAAACTAAATAAATTTGAATATGAAATCCAACTTCCACCTAAAACAGAAATGCTGGAACTACTAAAAATAATTCTTCAAAATAATATTTTTGAATTTCACGAAAATATTTTTAGGCAGAGAGTTGGTGTCCCAATGGGACTATCAGCCGCACCATGCCTAACAGATCTGAGAATGTTTGAAATAATATCAGACATACTAAATCGATTCCAATATTCGGAGGACATCTTAATGATTTCAATTTACAGGGACGATGGGTTTATCATTTTTAATAAATCTGAAAGACATTTTACGGAATTTATAAATTTATAAAAATTGCTAATAGCATTCATTCACTCATTAAGTTCACACACACCATTTCAAATACCGAAATACAATTCCTAGACGTAACAATGTATAAGGGAAGAGATTCTTGGAAGACAACATTTTGGATGTTAAACTATACCGGAAACCTACAGATAACTTCCAATACCTTGACAAAACCTCCTCTCATCCTAATGCTGTCTTCAAAGGATTCATTATTTGTGAAACAATAAGAATAATAAGATCGTCAAACAATGAGATTGACAGACAACAGGAAATAGACCTTCTCAAAAATAAATTAATACAAAGGGGATATGAAGAAAGCGAAATTGAACCGATTATAAAGGAAAAATTAAAAAGACCTAGACATGGCACATTGATTTATAAAAAGAAGAGAAAACGTACAGCGCCGTTTCTAGTTTTAGCAACTAGATACAATCCTTTGTTTAAACAACTTGGCAGACTGATAAGAAAACACTGGCACATCATTGAGAAAAATAAAACTGCAAAGCAACTAGTCCCAAAACCACCTATAATTGCATATAAACGACATAAAAATCTAAAAGAATATCTTACATCATCAAACCTATAAGTTGAATGTTAAAAAGGACACAAAAGAAAAGATGATATATAGAATAAAAGATCCGCCAGGTGTCGTGCTCTTTAAGATAATCGCATCCAATGTAAAATACAAGCATATTAATAGATCAAATAAATAATCTAAATATTAGCCAGAGCACCTGATGAGGATAAACGGCCTTGGTACGAGTGTGACCTAAATTGATATCCGAAACACCATGCGGAATAAAAATAATAAAACAATTAATCCAACAAAATAAAAAGAATACTTAAATAATTGTATGACACCAATACACTTGGGAACAAACTACGAGTGTCAAAATTAAGCCCTCATTACAATTTATAATAATCAGAAAACTGCAAAGTGTCTTCCAAAAGAACAAAGACATTATAGAAATACTTCATTACTCCTTGGATTGGTTTAGACACGTGTTATAATTTAATTATGCAAGTGTTTTTTTCTGTACTTTTCAAGATGTGCAAGTGAGTCAAATTTCAATGATAAGTTGATATTGACATTACAATATAAAAAAGATGTGGTATGAATGCCAGTGTGACAACTATTCACAAGAGACCAAATGACACAGAATTTAACAAATATAGGTCACCGTACGGCCTTCAACAATGAGGAAATTCATACTGCATTGTTAGCTGTAAAAAGCCCCGAAATG